CAACTACTTCATGAAAGTTCACCAACTTCAGACAACAAGTGTTTGGCACCATGGCCCATAGCTTGATGACAATGCATAGTCAATAGACTGGCCATCAATTCTCAAGCAGATCAGATGAAATCTTTGGAGTGGTTCGGGAGCAGCGCAAGGCGGCAAGGAGTACACTCCTCCCCAAAACTATAAGAGTAGGGCTATCTGACCTCTTCAACCTCTTGGGTTTCGAGATCGCCAGGACAGCGACCGGCGCTTGACTGTGCTGCAGACGCTCGTGGTGGATGGCACACGGCCAGGGGGCCCAACCGATGTGGATGGCTGTGGTGTCAACGGTCTTTCCATGGGTCTTTTGGTGGCGACTCAGTGGCGACACCTCAGAGTTTGGAGGCCATTGCTCTACGGTTGGAGGCAGGTTGGAGGCCATCGCTAGTAGGTTGAAGGCCATCGCTAGTAGGTTGGAGGCCATCACTAGGTTGGAGGCCATCGCTAGGGGTGAGGCCATCGCCCTAGTAGGTTGGAGGCCATCACTTTTAGGTTGGAGGCCATCGCTAGCAGGTTGGAGGCCATCCCTAGTAGGTTGGAGGCCATCGCTAGTAGGTTGGAGGCCATCCCTAGTAGGTTGGAGGCAATCCCTAGTAGGTTGGAGGCCATCGCTAGGAGGTTGGAGGCCATCATCGCTACAAGGTTAGAGGCCATCACTAGTAGGTTGGAGGCCATCGCTAGGAGGTTGGAGGCCATCGCTAGGAGGTTGGAGGCCATCATCGCTACAAGGTTAGAGGCCATCACTAGTAGGTTGGAGGCCATCGCTAGGAGGTTGGAGGCCATCGCCAGTGGGCTGGAGGCCATCGGCCATGGCTAGTAGGATGGAGGCCATCGCTGGTGGGTTGGAGGCCATCGCTGGTGGGTTGGAGGCCATCGCTAGTAGGTTGGAGGCCATTGCTAGTAGGTTGCGGTGCCCACCGGAACGAAGGCGCCGACTTCGCCATCGCAGAACGAATAAACGAAGACAGCCAGACTGGGGAGGCAGACGGCTACGGGAAGCAACCAAACAGGATAGTATTCTAGTAGCGTCCTTGCTCCTAGTGTATTCTATGCCTTTGAATGAGACCACATGTGGAACAAGTGGTCCCAGAAAACTAGCATTTATGAATGTAGCGTGCTGCGTTAGGAACATGAATGACACACGGCAAGGTCTTTTTGGTGCGGTCCATCGGTGTCAGTTGCATTTTGTGAGGCCATGTTGCGAGGATCCATTTTTTTTGCCTCCAAGAATCTGGTTGGAGTCAGTCCTTCTTGTTACTACTAGTAAGGCACTTGTTTCTACTAGTAAGGCACTTGTTACTACTAGCGATGCACTTGTTCCTAGTAGCGTGGCACTTGTTACTACTAGTAAGGCACTTGTATATATATATATATTATATACACATGTATACACGGTATACCGGTACACCGGTCTTGACCATCGGTACACCGGTCCCATTTCGAGGTCGCCAGTGACCGAGCCTTGAGGGAGGTGGACGCCACAAGAGTGGGGGAAAGCTAAGAGCCCCTTGGAGTTCGTTTTCTATGAGTGGGTATTGTGGGCCTTGCTCTGCGATACACGATTCTTCTGCATGTACCATGGCATTGATGTTGCTGTTTTACTGTGATTGAATGTGGAGACATGTTTGTGGATTTGTTTTGAGCACGTCGTCTGGCCGGGGCGCTTCATCTGACCGGGTTCCACATCGCAGGGATCAGTTTTCCCTGGTGAAGGGTGCGCCCGTGTCAACACCTGAGTCTCCCTGACTGTCCCAATGCGCGCAACAGCCAACCTTGAGCTCGCAGGGTTTCATGAGATTTTTGAGATCAAACAGGGGATTTCCACTTTCTGACATCCCCTACGGATGCCCTCAAGTTGGATCCTCTTGGCCTCTGTATGACGCTGCACTTTCTGAGGCAGATCTTGCTCAACTCGATTGGATTGGCAGTCCCTTGGCGGCCTTGGTGTCTGTTGGGTTCACCAATCTTCACTTTGCTTTGCGGGAGTGCACCTGAGTTCAGCTTCACATGCGCTCACATTAGGCATCGGGTGTTCAGGTTCGGGGCTCAAAAGCAGAGAATCTCATGCATGTTTGCAGATCAGCATGAAAACCGAAGAGCTTGCACCCCCAAACTAACCAAGATGCTGGTAGGCTCGCTTTGAAGCCTCGTGGACTCTGTCTAACTTGCTCCTTTCCAAAAAATCCTCAACACTCAACACTCAAACCTCACACTCGTCGCGGCATCGGCACCACCACAAGCGTGTCCTTATCCCCGAAAGATGCTGCCTGCGAAGCGGACATTCCTCGAGGATTTAGAGGGCACAGAGCAGCTGGGCATAGCTGGGCAGGGTGACGCGTCTGGGGTCCTTGGTGGAAGGCGATGGGAATGCTTGGTCACGGGTTCCTGACATCCACCACTACACGTCAACGGCTCCGTCTTTGCAGAGTGAAGTGGAATGACAGGTTTTCGATATAGTGTGTATATATACACACACTGTATAGTGTATATATATATATGTAATTCTTTTTCTCCGAGAGGACTTGTCGGACTTGGCAAAGAATCACTCGGAGATACCTTCAATGGCCGTGCCCCCAAATCAGCCCAAAACCTGGTCATCTTGTTTTGGGGAGGCCCTGGAGGTCCTTGCCGCACCAAGTGCACGAGGGAGGGATGAGATGTCCTTCCCACAAAGGCATCAACCTCGAAGGAAGCGAGCGAAAACGACCCAATCTTCTGGAGAGACCCATGGTCCATGGTTCAGCAAAAGGTCTGATTGTTGTGATGAAATGATCTTTCATACGACTCTGCCTTTAAACCCCCCC